TATTCAGGCCCTCAGATCAAGCTACAAGACTTCAACACACACACACACACACACACACACACACACACACACACACAGCATATATAATAATGTGGAGCTCAAAGAAAACATAATATCCAATTTTCTGTGTACCACAGGCCCACGGTTTTCCTAGTGAAGGCACTAGGATCCATGGTGTGAGACAGGATTTCTTTTCTATTATCTCAACCATTTCTGTCCTCTAGATTCTCTAGATCTTTTGTCTTTGGCATTCCACTCCAGAAGGGCCACCCCTTGGCCTGAAACTGACTTTGATCTTCGATATTCTTTGTGAAGCTCAATTTGGAATGGATCCATAATCCAGTGCACTGATTTTTCTCTCCTGTATAGTCTCCCTGCTTATCTATGCATCAAACCTCACAAACACCTTAGCAATGTTCTCGGATGCATCAATATGGGGGCTTTTCCTCATAGCCCAGCTGTGTGTTGGTGTCATGGGGAATTCCCTGCTCTCCATGCTCTATCTGTACATGTTTTTATTCCAAAGTCATCTGAAGAAGCCCATCGATGCCATTTTCATGCACCTGACTGTGGTCAACATCCTGAATCTCACCTTCACAATGTTGCCAGACATCATAGCATGCTTCGGAATCCAGCAATTTCTGAACGATGTGGGCTGCAAGGTGGTGGTGTACTTCTTAAGAGTCACCCGGGGACTGTCCATCTGTACCACCTCACTCCTCAGTGCTTTTCAGGCCATCACCATCAGCAACAGCCATGCTCAATTGGTGTGTCTTAAATCTAAGCTTTCCATGTGGATTTTCCCTTCTTTCCTCTTCTTCTGGGTCATCAATATGGTCATCTATATCCCAGTCATTACAGCTATGAAAGGCAAAAGCAATTTCACTTTTGTTGGTCCCGGGATTTCCAATGCATATTGTCAGACTCCGCAGATAGAAGACAATAGATCATGGTATTTCATCTCTATTTTATTATTTCGAGATCTTGTGTTTGTTATCCTCATGATCACCACCAGCTTCTATATGGTGACCTTCCTGTACCGACACCATAAGACAGCCCAACACCTCCACAGCCCCAGGCTTCCTTCCCAGTTGGCACCTGAGAACAAGGCCACCCACACCATCTTACTGTTAGTCAGCTGTTTTGTGTTCTTCTATTGCTCCAACAACATCGTAAACTTTTATTCCTTTTACACACCAGTGAAAATCCCAACACTGGATGTGCTGATTTGTATTTTGTCATCATGCTACCCAACCGTATGTCCTTTTTTCCTAATGAAAAATAATAAAATTTTTTCTAAATATTCACTCTCCCTCTTGATGATAGGAAGTACTGGTTGTCATAAAGCATTCAACAGCTGATTGGACAGCCAAAGCTTTTCTTCAAAGTGCTTAAGTTCCTAGAAATATATCTGGGGAAGAAATTATATTGAACACGTGAAGTGTTGCTCCAGTTCAGAGATGCTATGATTCTTTCTTTTTTAATTTTTTTGGGTGGTCCAGTAGTGGGGCCTGAACTCTGGGCCTAGGTGCTGTCCCTCAGTATTCAGCTCAAGGCTTGCAATCTACCATTTGAGCCACAGTGCCACATCCGGATTTTCACTTCACTTATGTGGTACTTTGAATTTTAACCCAGAGCCTCAGGCATGCAAGGCAAGCGCTGTACCACAAAGCCACCTTCCCAGCCCCTATGCAGTAAATCTTAAATGCCGAGGTACTTTTGTGTCTTTGCACAAAAGTGTTACATTGCTTAGTTGCTTAACAGATTATTATTGGGACAAATGAAATACATTTTCTTTACACTATTAGAATTAAAAACTTTTCTATTCTTATAAGACATTTGCTAGACAATCTATTTCTTCCTTGTGTTCCCTTCCTACTATCTGTGCTGTTTATTATAAAGAATTCTATTAGATCACTCTAAGAATGCTGGTTCTTCAATGAAAGAGTAACATCTAGCCACGGAAGAAACAGCATGTGGCCACAGGACACAGCCAGAGCCAGGCACAGGTGGCTCATGGCTATAATCTTAGCTAGTCAGAAGGCACCTCATTTCTCAGGCACCCTGGGAAGAAAACTTAGTGAGACCCTTACTTCAACTAATCACAAGAAAAGCCAGAAGTAGTGCTACAGCTCAAGTGGAAGAGTGCTAGCCTTGAGCAAAAGAAGCCCAGGGACAGTGCCCAGGCCCTGAGTTCAAGCCCCAGGTCTGGCATAAAAGAAAAAAGAATGGACCTTGCAGCCAATGACAAGGAAAATTGTAGCCAGTGATGAAGCAGGAGGCAACCAATGACAATCAGGATGCAGTCAACGCAGAGATGTGTATACACCATGACACATATTCTTCCATTGTGATCTCCATGACTCTACTCTGTGACAAGCAGTGTGGCAAAGGCGGCACAATGGAGATCATTGTTCTGATTTAGACAACAAAGGAAACCTTCCAAGATAGATCCGTGTAGAGAGTAAGTCCTTACAGGTCCAATCGTCCATCACCACTGGACTTTCTGGAGAAGTGTCATGAGGAAAAAGGGTGATGTTCAGTCTGGAGCTCACTGGACATTGGGCATTTTATTCTATTCTGTTTTTTTTGGTCAGAGACCAGGACTGGAACTCGGTATCTGATGCTTTTGCTCATCATCTGCTGCTCCACAAGTCCCCTATCCCTTCACTGGACACTCAACTTAGTTTGAAGTCTACTTCCCCTGTTATCCTTCCTGTTCACGATCTCTATACACAGTTGGCACCTCTGATAGTGTTTTAGTCCTCGATTTTATTTTGGACCTTGCCACACCACATATACTAGGTTGAAACTTCTGGAATGAAAGGTTCAGGACAGGAGTGGAGCCTGGCATAGACTCAAGCCCCAGGCATCCCCCAGGAGTTGGTGGAGAACTGGATTCCCTAAAAAAGACAATCTGGTCAGACTTAACTCATTGTTCTCTGAGAATGAGAAGTTCCAGTGTAACTGCTGCTCACCACAGTGACCCAGGGCCCAGTGGCAGGATGCCTGCCCTGTGCCCTGACAAGTCCCACCTAGGAGAGCGTCTGTCCTGCCTCCAGGCCAGTTCAGGCCTGCCATTGTATACAACAATCCTTGTTTCCTCCTCTAACAAGCAGCTCAGTATCCAACCACCATGGGAACCCAGTCCGAGAGGCACAATGGAGAGGAAGCTGCCGAAGCAAGCATTTGGAAAGGAGCAGAGATCACAGCAGGCAAAGCAGCCATGAAGATGTGTCTGCAAGGAGTCCTTAGCTGGGTTCAGCAAAGAGAGGCCAGCGCAGGTGGGTGGAGCACTTCCATAAAGCTGCCTGTGGTGGATAGATGGCTTCTGATTTGAAATCAACAACAGAATAAAGGACTGAAGTTCAATGAATAGTCTCTGGCCAGAGAAACAAGGTCAAATGCTTAAGTTTCTGCACTTCCAGTGGTTCCTGGTATTTCCAGCTGAGTCATCTTTCTGTGACCAATGGGTGTCAAGCCACCTTCTGCGGAGTCTGCGTGAGAGATCGCGTTGGACAAAGAGCTTCAAGGAAGCATGCCCTCAGGAAGGGGGTGTTGGTTCAAGGCTTCCCATACACTTGGCTGCACCTTTATATCCTCTACCTTTACTCTTACTATATTCTTCTTGGCTGTACATTCGTTGCCTTTATTCTTGTTTTGGCTATTTTTCTATTGATCCGCAAACAGAGTATTTTGTATTTTTCCAGTCCAATAGAGACAGCTTCTCTAAGTAATAAAGACTAAGGCCAAAGATTAAATGTGGGCAATGCCCCAATCAATCTATCATCTGATGTGACGTTGCCTCCAGAAACTCCTCCAACTTCACAGGCGGTTTTGCAGCTCATGCATAGTAAATATAGAGACTTAAAATTTCCAGATATGTCCAACAGACAAAAATCAATGAATTAAACTAAGTTAGAAAGAGTTATCCCAGTAGTTCAGAGAGTTCTAAAAAAGAAGGGACCTCTGATTATAAAAGAAAAAGAAAGATTCTCCCCACAGTTATGATTAAGTTTAGTCCAATTTACGTTATAGGGAATAGATGGTGTTTTCACACAAAATATAAAGTTAGTAACATATTTCCTGAACCAACCAAGAACCATGTCCTTATACTCCTGTATAAGGAGCTTATAAAGATGAAATTAGTTGGATAAAAATAAAATTAAAAAGAGTATAATGTAAGTACAGCCCTGTCTTAGGTTTGTTAATTATTAAACATAAAAAAGGCTGAATAGATGATGTATTCTATTAAACAATATGCTAGACTTGTTTCGCACCACTTAGCTTAAACAGTTGGTGGGATAGTCATCAATTTTCATGTAATTCATCAATACTTTGTCTTTAAAAAATTGATTATGTGCTTAAATAAACAAAGAATCTATGTCACAATCACACACTGTATAAAAATGTTAATTCTCTTCAATAAAGATACACTCAGATGCAACTCTTTTGAGTCTGTGTCTGTTTGTTACTTCGCCGACTCCTTTGCCCACCTATCCCGAGATTCCTGTCCCATCGGTCCCAGTGCTCCGGCCAAGTTGGTCCGTCGCAGGACCTTAATATTTACTATTTATATGTTTTGAGCTTGTTTGCATCCTTGGAATAAAATCAGCTTTATTGATGGTGACAGGGCAGTAGGGAAACACCACAGCTCTCCCCAAGGAAAAAGAGAGTTCGAGTTCCAATGCTTAATCTCCCCAAGAGACGACACCAACAAAAAGGTGAACTCTCAGAGAAAAACAGGAGGTGGAAAATAACAAAAAAGAAAGAGAGGAAAAGAAGAATTTCAGAACAGAGAAGAGCAAAGACCCCACGCCCAACCTTCACTGGCAGTGTGGCAGCACACCAAGCCGTGGACCGCCGGCCTGGCAGGGGCTACCAGAGTCCCAGAGACACAGGGGGTTACCTGCAGATCACCCACGCAGAAGCCACCTGAGGTATCGGTTTGCAGACCACTGATCACCACAAACAGAGAAACCTACCAGCCGGGAGTCTCCATGAAGATCCCACCCCCACCCATCACTCTCCATCCGAACAGAGAGGCTCCATTCCGCCAACGCTGCCCAGCACTGGCAGTGCATCTAGCCGCTGACAGCTGGCCCGGCAGAGGCTGCCAGAGTCCCAGAGACACTGGTAGCTGCCTGCAGATAGCAAAGAAGCCGGTATCGCAGATAGCGCAGAGGTACCTTTGTAAGACCCACCGATTACAATACAGAGAAACCACTGAGCCCAGAACTCGGCCCCACGATGGGAGCCCCCAGAGCTACACGGGATGCTCACAGAACAGCAAAGCAAAAGACCTACAAGGAACTGGTGATGATCCGGAGAGTGAAAACCCCAGCACTCAGAACCTGTACGGAGGCCCAGCCCCACCCCTCGCCTGTGGTGTGGACACTATGGACCCTACAGCTTCGACAAAGGCAGAGACAAAAGGGAATCACACAGAGTCACCACCGCCCAGCCCAGCCCGCAACTACCCCAACTGAACTCGGATTGCAACAGCAACTGACAACCTACACCACACAGAAACAACTCCAGGGTGAGTATCCCACAGGGGACAGTGTATCCCTCAAGGGAGACCAGAGCTGGAGGGAATCCCAGACCCTGACCCAGACTACCTACACCAACACCCGGACCACAGGACCCACTAAAATTGGGAACTGTTTGAGAGCTCCACCAGCCCGTGGAGCACACTCTGCTGGCCGGGCTAGAGCAAGAACGCCCCTAGAACAGGGGCCCTGGGTCAAGACAACCAACAGTAGAAGAAATTTGAACTGTGTACCCCAGGCTGCATAACCTAGGTGGTATACACAGCAGCACAGGCCCAAC